GGAGCAGCTGGGAGGGGGCTCTCTCCGGCGCTGGGTTCCTTGTTGCGTGGGGCGCCGCGTTGCTCTTTAATACCCACCGTCACATCTGGCCGCCTGGGACGCCCGCGGTGTCCCCATCCCCTCGCCTGAAACCGAAGGCGGGCGGAGAAGCGGTGGCTGCAGAGCTGGGAAACAGTGGTTACGTGCAGGATCCCTGACCTTTTAGCACTGGTCTGCCCGAGGCCGGGTTGAGGAAGACCCGCGGTGACACGGCTTTGGCGTGGGGGGGGTAGGCTCGGGGAAGCGCACAGATCAGGGCACAGATAAGGCTCACCAAGCCTTAGCCGGCGGGCGGGAGCCTGTCCGCGACAGGGGGGCACGTAAACCTTTAACATCAAGGGCGTGGGGGGGGTAGGCTCGGGGAAGCGCACAGATCAGGGCACAGATAAGGCTCACCAAGCCTTAGCCGGCGGGCGGGAGCCTGTCCGCGACAGGGGGGCACGTAAACCTTTAACATCAAGAAGGGGGTAAGGGAAAAAAAAAAGAGAGTTGCTATTCGGTACTTGGCAGTTGGTATTTGCTCTTCTACTATTCGTTGCCACTATGGAGAAGAGGCTGTAATGCATATTGGTGCCTGCCTTCAGCCGTCTGAGACCTGGCGAAAGCCACTACAAGATGCTGAAGACAAATTACGCTGAAAAGACACTTATCCTTGGCTTGAACAGAAATAATGTCTGCACAGATCAGTCGTCTGTAGGTTTACAGATGAAAACAGCAGTCCTTTGTGAAGCACAGGGGTGCCACCTTTTTACCCTTCCCGTGGCAGTAACTTGTTTTATCTAAGGAGTTAATGAAAGGCTGTGGAAAGACACCTATTAAATCTTCCTTGCAATCACTGTTGAAAACATCTTTTAAATGAGCAGTGGTGTCTATTCATACAAACAGTTTTAACTGCATTTAGGTGAGTTTAGTAAAATCCAAACAACTCTGTCGTGTTTATTTTGGCTCTTTGGTGACAATCATAAGGTAGTTGGAATAACATTTTATTCATCTTAAAGCCAAAAGGTGAGAGGTGTTGTAAATGGTGGTGTTTGAAAACGGCTCAGTCCAGTGCTTTGTAAAATACTCATTTTAAATTTGTCTTTTCCATAAGTGTATGTAACTAGTTATTTATTGCTGCCCTGATAGAATTTCGTACTCTGAATGTCTAGTTCGCGTTGCATTATTCTAAGGAAGGGTGAGGGGAGAAGCGCAGCAGAGCTGGCTCTGGTATCACCAATGAAGGAGATGTGGGAGTTTAAAAAGGAACCTGCAGTTGCAGTCTAAAATTCTAGACTCGGGAGCTAAGGGACGAATACACGAGGCTGAATCCTAGATATATATCAAATATAAAAAAAAGTGCAATCAAGAACAGTTAAAAGGTTTGCAAATGTTTCAGCGTGGCTTATACAGGAATGTTTGGGGGAGAATATGTGCAGGAATTCGAGGGGGAGGGGGAGAAGCATTGCTCTCCACTCCTCCTTCTGCTGGTGTTGCTCGGAAGTGATATAAATGAAGGAAGATAAAATAACTTGTGTTTTGTCCAAACTGATGAAGTTGTAGCAAGGGAACTGTAATTCAGCTAGAGTGTCAGTTAGGGTATCACCTCTTGATTTCAGACTTTCAATCCAGTGTGTTATTGGCTCTGCTGACGGCGATGAGAGACGAATCTCTCTGCTGTTGGCAGGAACAGCGGAGTTCACACGGGCATCGTGTGACGGAATTCCCCACATAAAAATTATCCTTGCTGATATAATATAATCATCCTTTAATGAAGTGGTCCTGTGGTTCCCAAAGGATGTATTAAGTGAAGACTGTGCTTTCATCCCACCGAATTATCAGTGTACTTAGCGTGCCAGTCACACCAGCGCCTAGGTGTCACCATTATCCGTCGCTGCTGTTCTCAGGCCCAGGTTTAATTTCCTTTCCACCTTTGCAGCTTAAGTCAGGAGAAAAAGAGGAAAATACACCGCGTGAGCCTGCTTATATTTTTATTTGTTGCAATATGACTGTGATTTAAGCACTAGTGATCAGTTTAGCTGGCCCCAGGTGTAGAGCCAAGTTGAAAAATGCGTCCTCTGAGCACGTGCGGTATTGCAAAACTACTGGCTGCGTGCACCGATGCCTCTTTATGTTGGTGATGTGTTGGAAAAGCATCTGGAGTGCTTTTTTCTGCACGTATTCTCACCCTGCTTTAGCTGCCGCTAGTCAAGCGGACTCTCACTACACTTCTCGTGTCTTTCTGGCTTGCAAGCTGTAAAGGGCCTTGTTCACCCAAGTTTGAAACTGGCGAACGCTTTGCTGAGGATCTATTAAGGATGCTACAGCATTCCCAAGTGTGGTTAAGGCCGCCTGAAACTGCTGAGCTGGCATTTCACTTCAGACGGTGTTCACAATAAGGGCATACACACAAATCCTCCCCCACCGGTCCAACCCCAAAGCTCACAATTAAATGGCCTTTGAAAATGGCAAAGAGGCTTATGAAAAATAGCCTCGATGGAATCTAACCTTTCCTGGAGCTGCCCTTGTGTGTGGAATTGCTGATAACTTTCTGATGTGAAAATGCTCTGTGAAGAGGCGAATGCCTCTTAGCTGGAGCGAAATAGCTGCAGCCTTCTTGTGTTCTGCATGTAAAGTACCGGCACAACCTGCCCTGGCTGGGGATGAGCGCTCGACCTCGGCAGAAATCACCGCCACCTGGGCTCAGTTCCCTTAAAACCACTTGTTTGTTCTCCCAAGAGCGCGGAGGTGTGCGGAGGGCTCGCGAGCCTGTCGCTGGGTCGCGCTGTACAGGGTGCGGGGTTGGGTGGTCTCTGCCGAGTTCCCGAGGGTGGCTGTGCCAGCTGGAGCGGGGCACTGCCCCACGGGTGCTCGCTGCTGGGAAGGTGGTTGGGGCGAGAGATGTGGTGCTTGGGGACATGGTTTAGTGGCTGAACATCTGTCATCTTACAGGTCTTTTCCAACCTAAATGATTGTATGGTTATCGTAAGATTTAGGGTCTCTACCGAACTGACTTTTCTAGCCTAAGGGAAGGGGGTTTTCCTCTAAGTTGAAACTTAAGTTTTCTATAAATAAAGCAAAGGGAGTGGGGAGGAGTAGAGGGGAAATGCACCTACCCTGCAGATTAGTTACTTGCAGATGAAGCGAATAAAATCATTCCTTACAAAGTGTGCATCTCCAGGGGAATCAATCTTACACCGTGGAAGAAAAGCACACTGAGTAGTGGTTTGGGGTTACTCATATTAAAAATATATGAAAGCAGTTGGAGTCCAATATTTGTTTGGCAATGGAAGTTTTATTTGCAAGATCTTGGGGAAAATCAGTTATGTATTTCCAGGAAGATTAGAAAGTGCCATAAGCTTAAGCCATACACACTAAATTAATTGATAATGGTTAGGACTTACCATTAAAAATGAAAATAAATTATGAATAAATCACTCAGTAGTGTAATGCTGATTAACCATCATAGTTTTCCACATCTAAGAGGATCCTTTTGTCCTTCTGTCCAACACACGCATGGGATCCCACAGTCCTATATAGATACACCTTCCTCATATTTCAGTGGGGAATCAGCGCCTTTGAGGGCTACCAGATTAACAGCCAGGGAGTCTGAAGGGGTCTAGTTTATCCACAGAACAATCTAGGGCTGCCAAACTAATTTCATAGGGAAAATTAGGCAGATTATTTTCAGAAGTTTCTTGTAACTGTGTGCGTAAGTTCTTTTTCTTATGTTTTACTACCTGATTTAACATGCAAAGAGTGGTACAATTGCTCGTCAAATATCCCCCATGTCTGGGGCTATCTGCTCGTGGGGAAGCAAGCCAGGACAGTAAGGCTCATTCATGCCAGAGGATTTCTTGATCTGGGACTGACATTGGGTGTGAACAAACTGCAGTCCTGGGTCTGTGGGTTTGAGTGTGGTTTGGGTCTGCTCTCTGTTCACCCGAATCGAGGCATCTCTGGCTACAGGGTTGTTCTGTGATGAATACGCTGCCTTCTGCTTTTCCTTTGGGCTGCTGTTGTATAAGTAGAGGTTTCTGGTATTCAAGTTTTTAGGGACTCGGTGTGCAAAGGAAACTTTCTTTTCCGTTTTTCTTTAAAAATTTGCTTCATAGCCAGGTATGGTAAAAGGTGCTGGTGTTACATGCTGTCTGCAGAACTTGCCTATACCAGTAGCAGTAGGAAATGCAGGTGGCTCCAATCTGCAGGTCTTCATTTGAAGCTACCCAGTTTCTGCATTTTAAAAAACCCAACAGACCAGGCTCAGATTTCTGAATGTGATTGCAGCCACTTCCCTTTGCACGACTCTTTATACCAGAGCAAAGAACAAGACTGCTTTTGCTCTCCTAGTTTTGCTTCCCTCTTCCGCTGCTTCAACCACCACAGGAATTAGGAAGGGTAGAGGATGCCGAGGTTGGCGAGACAAGGCTTGTTTGAAAGCCTGTGCCCAACTATGGCAGCGCTATGGCCGCATTCTGTCTTTACGGTTAGCGCTTGTGATCCCTTTTGTGCTTTCTTGCCGTTACAGGGCAAAATCTGGAAACATGAAATACAGTGAGCTACTGAATATATAGAGGTTGCTGGGACAGTAAAGTATTCACGTGGATCACATAAATAGCCTGTCTTTTAAGACCAAAATTAAATCATACTAAGAAAACACATCATGGTTTCCTTTTTTCCTTGAGTAGGGGCGGTGTTCAAGTGATTCATTGAAAACTCTGTAGCCCCACCTTAGGCTGTAGAGGATAGAGGTGTACTTGGGCACATGGCTGCCTCAAAGAGAGCGCTCGAGGACCGTTTGGACCCTAAAGCAACCTCGCTGTATCAGTCTTCCAGCGCACATGGGCTGTACAGGCGCGTTCAGCTGGCTGGACGGGTGGTGGGTGAGTCCCTTGGCGCTGGACGGTGTGTGCTGCAGGAGCTCCGCAGCGCTGTGGGTCAGGTCCCATGCTTCTGCAAATGACGTGTGCGTGTTGGAATCAGGACGTTGTCTTTCAGTGTAGATGAGCTGTGCGGGTGACCAAGACTGTAGGATAGATAAGGAGAATGTTCTTTCAAGTTTTCTACATTAATGGAAACATGATCCCATTAGCTATGCTGTCATTTAAAAAAAATCATAAAAGGCGTAACCTCAGGAGACGTGAGTTGCTACTACACCCGCTAACGCTTTATTTTGCGGGCTTTCTCACGCTGCATGTCTTTTGGCATGTTGTGTTGCGAAGCTGAAGACTGCCAGCCTCGATGCAGGGACCGTCCAATTTACATTCTAGTCATACTGCAGCGTTTCACAACCCCGCTTTAGCTTTTCCCTGGCTTCCCAACAGCTCTGCCGCCTGACCCTGCCCAGGCACTGCCGGGGCAAGGGAAAGGGCCTGGGAGTCACAGGGAAGAGAAGGAACGGCAATATTCAATAGAGGGGGTGCAACGCTTTGGCCTGAAAAGCGGTGTAAGCCAGCGGTGGGTCAGCGGGCTGTCGCGTGGGGGTATTTGGGCTGAAAGGAAGGATTGCAGCTGCTGCATGGGGTAGTTCTTGCCTACTGCATGGCAAAGAGCACCTAGGGTAAAGCAGGTCAAAAGTACCGTGGATCTCGGCATCTGGTCAGAATTTCCATAAATGCTTTAAGAACCCTTCTAAACGCCTGGCCCCAGGTTTGGAGGAACTGGAGAACGATCCATATGAAACAGAGACTTTGTAAGAATTGGTCGGTGTGCTTACAGATGCCCCAAAACATCATGGCATGTCTGAATACTTGTCTTTTTAATATTAGAGCTACTTTTAATTCTCTTTCTTGAGCCTGTGCCTAAATAAAGCGCTCCGAGTGAATGTCCCATGTTGAAAGAAGACGTGCTTACCGCTGCCAAGACCCCTCCAGAGCCGCTCAGGCTGCTGGTGGTGGTCTGGCACCGTACTCCGATGTGCAACTTGGACCACACGCTGTGTAGTGGAGATGGAAATTTTACTCTACTAACTTTCATGTTTTGTATTGTAGCCATGAGACGCAAACAACCTGCTGGGATCATCCCAAGATGACTGAGCTTTACCAGTCTTTAGGTAAGACACCTCTACCAGTTGTTTGGGGTTTCTTCCAATCAAACGAATTTTTAAGGCAAAGATTTCCAGAAGAAGTAAAAAAGAAAATGAAATCAAAGCGAGAGACAGTGCTTTTATCAAGGTTAATTTTCTTGCAAGGGAGATACATAAGGCATAATAACACGTTTCAAACATGCAGGGGAAAAAATAATATTTCAATTAGCACTTTTGGAATGCGCGCTGGGTTTACGAAGTAATTTGGGTTCATTGTTGCAAACTCTTACTGAAAGACTGGGACAGAAATTTGAAAGAAAAAAAGAATCCTCAGTCTTTTCACTGTCTAATCTACTTCACGAAAGGCAGATGAAAAAATCAAACCAAGCTGCTGTTAATGTTGACTTTTGGATGGTAGGAAGCCAATTGAAGCAATTTGCCAAACTGCGTTACCACTGCTTTATTTTTAAAGCACTTTCAATACTTGGAAGGCATGGCAGCTGTCATGATGTCATTTTGAATACCCAAATTGCATGCTTATTATGACTTCAGATGTGCCTCTGGTGGAGGGGTGGGTTTTTATTATTTTTTTAGCAGCTTTGGATTTTATTAACAGAAGCACATCCATCAGATAAAATAGGTCAATCCATGCTCTAGTGTAGGCTACTTGGCAGACCATTTAATAGCTAACTCTTTGCTTTTAATGGCTCTGTTAATAAATAATAGAGGATATAATAAAAATTCAGCTATTTCTCCAAAAGAATTACCATTGAAGATGCTGCATTCATGAGGAGGTTATGTCTGTACAGCACACATACATAAACCAGCTTTAAACAAGCCAGTCTGAGCACTGGGGCAGTCAAATCTAGCATTCGGTGCAGGCTTATTTACCATGGTGAAAAATAGATTAAATTATCTCCTGCTAAACTCTAGTTCAGCTGCTGAAAACAGTCTAATTATGCCAGCATAATCTATTTCAGGCTAACTCTCAGGTATTTCTACCGTGCTCTGCAGTTAAAGGCATACCAAAAATATTTTAGAAAAGTGGTAATGATAAAATGGAATGAAATAGCGTGAAGATTCTTTTTCCTTGTAGTATTAGCATTGTGGCAGCAATTTGTTTAAAAATTAACCAGAATACAGCTCTGTATATCAAAAAGGGATATAAGTTCAGGCTAACCAAATGCAAAAGCAGGCAAGTATTGACTTGCCATTTAATTATAACGTATTGCCCTGTTTGTGCCTGTATTTCTACTCCTCAGGTAAGTGGTTTAAAATATTCAGGACAAATAGCAATTGCACATGCAGACATCCCTTTTATACAGGTAGATCTTCAAACAGTTGCCTGTTAATTGAACTGCACTCTGCCTCCGCAGCCTTCTTTGACCCAGAGATTGCATGGTATTTCTGATACTGTTGTTGGCCAGACCTGAAGTCCTGTTGCAACCGCTTTTCTGCTGGTGTTACCCTCTTTCAGCTTGAGTACTCTTGGTTATCAAGAAGTGAAGAGGACTGTATGTAAGGCAGAAAAGTGTCCTGATGGGTTCAGGTCAACTGTCCAGAAGACGTGTGACCGCTGAAGTCAGTTTGCATTTAGTTCAGCTGAGTTTTATCACTGAGTATCACCCAAATGTCAAGAGTTTAAGATACCCTTATTTCTTACTGTATAGAGAAGGAACATGTTTAGGCAGATTTTGTTTCTTTTTCTTACAAAATCCTGCTGTTTTCCTTCTCAGGAGCAAGGAAATGTGCAAAAGGGAAGTAATTTTTCTGGCTAGTTTTATTTCTTTTGAGGTTGAGATAAAATGCTCATTAATATTGAGGCTGATTTTAGTGAAAGATGCATAATGTGTATTTTTATTAGTAAGATTAGGTGTTCGTGTGTGTAGAAGACAGATTAGACAAGGTGATTCTTTGTGCACTGCCACATGGGGTGAAGCTTTGATGAAAGTGCTACTGAATAACCTACCAATTTATTTTATTTTTGAATTGAGTGTATTCATCATTGCCTAACTCTCATACAAATTGCATAATACAAGCATAACCCGTTTAGTCTTGAACAGAACCCTTGATGTATTTTCAGTGCTTTGCTTTGCCTCAGGTCAAAACGGTAATAATGGGATGTTTGAAGTCTTTTCAGACTGTTCAGTAATATTTTATCTGAGAAGATATTAAAGTGGATTTTGTCGCATACTCATTAGAACCTAATATTTTTCCCCACATTAGGATCCAAATTTTGTTCCTCATTCATATGAAGAAGCTAGTAAAGAGCTTAGTATGTATGTGCTTTAAAAATCTGGTGGAAAACATGAATTCTGCAATCCAGGTAAATGCAAAAAAGTGAGACAAAGCACATCAATGCTGTCAAGAGTTTTCATTTCCATTTTCCAACTCCTACACTTAGCCTGTAGGGAATAATTGAGCTATGTGATGTAGCTCTCTATACATGCCAGTGTATCATAATTTCCTACGGGATCCTTATGTGTAATTTAAATTCTTACAAATTACTGAAAGCTTAATTTTTTTAAGTGAATGAGGAAGATGCATCCTGGCACAAGGTAATGTTTCTAATCTATGTCTTTGAGACACAAGAGACACTTCTGCAAGAAAAAGAAGTAATGTTAGTTTTATTCTTCACATACTCAATTCACACACCTATAAATTGCTGCATTACAATTTGTTAAAATAGATGAATTCCAAGTTTCAAACTTACTGGCTCAGCTTTCTGTCTGGAGACGTTTGGGTATATGTAAAAATGAGGCTAAATTACTTGGGAGCACTATTTACTACTGATAATAGAAGGTAGGAGCATGCTGCTTAGGCTTTTGTACCTGATCAGATTGTCAGTCCAGGAAGTCCTGTGTCCTGTCTTCAGTAGGGGCTGCCTCAGAGAAAGCACAAAGAATCCAAAGGAAGAAATTGTAAAATAATCTGCCCATGAAGAAAGTATTCTTAAATTCTCTTGGAACACATTTGTTGAAATGTGGCCGTTTATAAAGATACTAGCAATAATGGTAGAGTATCTTAATTGAAATTTGTGTATCAAATTTCTAAATGGTTGTTCTTTTAACAGACGGTTTTCCTTTTAAGATTTTAAAATTCTTGCTGTGGACTACTCTTTATTATTTAAACAACATTGCAGTCTTAGCAGTTTCAATGAAGCATCTATTCCTGACTCAAGTTGGGCAATTTTCATTCATCATTTACAGTTATGGCTACTTGGAGACAAGTACATAATAAACCATTAGCATTAAATGATTTAATTGTTGTTTCATGGCCAAGTCAAAGTGGCAACAGGTCGTTGCAACAAGGACCTTAGCTGTATCATGTAACGTATCTAGTAGAGGTTGGTATAATCTGACCAGTTATGTAAACTAAGGACACAGAAAGAAACAAAAATCCTGAAATAGGAAAGGTAGTTAAAGTCAATGATGAGCGAGTCTCAAAGGTTCAGAGGCTGTTGGACATCCCCCAGTTTTTATTTACACCGTTATGAACCACTCCCATTTCTTCTAACTTCCCTCTGAAAGTCTTCAAAGTACCACGAACTGCCCAACTGCTTTTCTTTCCAAAAGCTGTACCCCTGCAGCAAATCTGGTTTTTTTTGCACCGTTCTTTCACAGCCCCCTTAAGAATTTTCTTATCCTTCATGGTGGCTCCAGGGCATCACTTAAATGAGAATTTGTTATTTCATTGTCCTGGAGAGTTCAAGGACCTCCGGGTGAAGGGAGAGATGGCAAGAACAGGAATCAAAGGGGTCTGGGATTGCTTAATTTTTTCCAGATTATCTTCCGAGAGTGAACATTTAATGGCAGGCAGCTTAGCTCACAGCCATAGTATTTTGCCGGTCTGGTTGTTGGGGTGCTGGCACATGCTGTGGTGCTCATCCACTTCATCTAGATGCAAGCAGTAGTATTTTGGTGCCCAAGGTACCTGCCACTTAATTTGCAGAGACACCGTCAGCTTTTTTACTCAGTGGGACAGGTCTAGTGCAGCGTGCTGTATTGTTTCATGGAGCGGTGAAGCGAGATGTCTGTATGTATAGTAACACTGTTTACTGTTATTTATTCTCAAAGCAATGTAGATGATAGCATTAATTATTGCTATAATAAAAGAGTCAATGGCTGAGACTCAACTGATATTAAGCAGTGTTACTTGATTAATTTCTTTCCTTTGTGCATTTGTCTCATTTGCATTTTTAAATTACAATTCCTAAAGAGGCGATATATGTCACTGTAGGGCATCATTAAAAGATTTGTATATGGGTTTTGGGCAGCAGGAAGAAACCCTGCATTCTTATCAGCCAGTCAGGGAATTGCAGCTGTATTGAATCAGTGTGAGATGAAGCTTCTTGAAAAGTCAGAGTGGCGTTAATGTCTGATGAAACGTAAAATTTTAGTGGCTGGTAGAGGAATTGTGGTCTGTTCAGGACTGTACAGTAAACAGTTTTTAACCTCTGTTCGGTAGGCATTGTCAGGGACGACAGTGACATGCAATTCCCAAAATAGTTTATTCTCTGTAGCTAGCGTATATATGAAGAGCTATATGGGCATGTCACAAGCTATGGTTGAGTGAGGCTTTCAGCTTTTGAGGTACAGCATTGTAATTTTTTTTCCTTGCAAACTGAAAGTAAAACAAACAAACCAACACAACAACAACAACAAAAACCCTTCAACTCTGTAAATCTTATCAATGAAAATGAGGATTTGGCCTGATGACATCTAATTTCTTTCAAAGAAGTTAGTTGTTAACTCGTCAAATTTTACTCTTTAGTTAGCACCTGAAGCATGTAAGCTGCTCTTTTCAGCTAGATGGTGTCCAGGCAGTGAGAAAATTGCTGTCCATAAAATCAAGTGAAATGACTGTTTTGTCCTCGTTAATTAAGAAGAAATAATAATATTCACAATAATATAAACAGATAACCCTCTTTACAGTGAAAACCAAGTCCTTTTCCAGGTAGAAAGGACTTCCTGCAACGCCTTCAGATTATATTGTGTGTGTGAGACACAAATTATATGAACGACCCT